TCAGTAACGGCCTTGGGCTCCATCTTGACGATGAGGTTGCCTCCGGCAGCCTCGATGTTTGTGCGGATATCGACAATAGCCTCTTCCAGGCGGCTGATTCCCAAGCTCTTGTCCAGGCAGGTGTTGGTCAAGACGTAGAGAGGGGGGGATACCAGCTTCACCTTGACCTGGGTCTCCTCGGTGTTCTTCTCCTCGGCCTTGCGGAGGGCAGTCTTGACGGCGTCGATACCCTCATAGCCGAAGCATGTGACTTCGATATCAGCACGAACCTTGGTGGGCTGGGGTGTGAGTCGCTTGCTGATGTAGAGCTTCAGCTCGTCAGAGACAGGCTGGCTGGGGAAAGTGATGTCGTTCCAGACTTCCACATTGCTAATCTCCCAGTTAGTACATGAGCCCCGCTTCAGCGCGCATATACGCAGGAGGTGAATACTAACGTGATGGAAAGTTTGAATGCATCGATCGCGTGGCCGAACTTGCGGTTCAGTGGCCATGCAATAGTCTCGTATAGGGTCTCGATGGGGGTGTTGGTCTTCTCGGCGACGTGTCGCATGATGGAGTGGACCATCTTGCTCTTGTTGTATCGCTCTTCGCACTTGACGATATCCTCGGGAGACACTCGTCGCTTTGAGAGATCAATATATCCTGTCCGAAATTAATATCCAAACTGTTTAATTTGCAGCTGCTACCAGCCGCGGCGCTGTCGAGGATAACCATACCCTTCTCTTTGTCTACTCTCAGCACCACCACAACCTCATTTCGTCCCACTCGGATGAGCTTTTGGATACTTCGGATACGTCTTCGGGACAGCTCGGAGAGAAGAATCATGCCGTCGATGTTGTCGTACTCGAGAAGCTTGACGTAGGCTCCCATCTCGGCGATCTGCCTCATGGTTAGATCAACCCTTCAAGTGGCATGGCGATGATGTTCCGCAACCCACCTGCTTGACATTGACCATCACGAAGCTGTCAATCTCCGGATATTTCTCCTCGTAAAATCGGCAATTTGTTAACGACATTTTGGCGGTGTTTCCGGTCGCGCGACACTACAATGTTCGTTTTGGGTGGATTGGGTATCGATCTTGAGGTGGGGGAAGTGTATCCCAGGCGAGTCCTCCAAGCGATCAGTATTGGATCGAATCTCGGCTCTGGATCGGAACGTATAGGTGGCGGGAAAATGGAGGTTCGTCGGTGGGCGAAAAATCGAGGCCGTTGTTCCCGTAGATCCTCGTGTTCGTGATGCTTGAAGAAAACAGTTTTTGTGACTCCTCAGCCAGTCATGCCTCCCGCTGAATTTTGGTATTTTGAGCAGGCTTTCTGAAGGATGGTGGGGTGTGGCGGTGTGGCGGGGTAGTGTGGCTCAAAATTGGTTTCGAATTTCTTCCAGCCCCAAGGCTCCCTTTCGGCTGTGGAGAAAGTTGGATCCACGGAGTCGTCACCTTGGGTAAGCTGATCTAACTCTTGAGTTTCGAACATCCGTAAACCTGCTCAGGATATTCACAATTTTGGGCACATTTAGTGTAAGTAATGGCAGGATGATGAGAGGTATTTTGGTAAGATTGTGCCTAGACGTCAATGTAAACTCAAGTTGTTGTTTGGCTCGTGAAACACTAAGGTATCCCCCGAGCAAACCTACCCAAATCAACGGCCCTCTTCTGGGGGATGGTGTAAGCGTCGTGATATATTCATTATGAATATTTAACTGTCGACGGAATTTGTCTGCTCAACTGGGAGATGTCTCATGAGAGCTGCACTGAAGCCAAGTTGAACACAACTAGTCCAACCTACCTACAAGGGGAAGGTGGGGCGTGGCTACAGAGCGGTGACGGAGTTTCTTGCGCCCGGCGACAGTAAAGCTGCTAACTGTAACCATGTAAACAATCTCGCCAGTCGCATTGGTTTGGAGGAACCCTAGCTTCAGCACCACAATTCAGTATGGCACCTGGTATGTCCTCTACCCAACTCCCTTTTTTCGTTGTAATCTAACTGTTTTGACAGCTCTGCAGTTCGAAGATCTCGTACCGCCTCCCGGCGACGCAGTAACTGCGCTCAAGTTTGCGCCAACCAGCTCTTCAAAACTTCTGGTCTCTTCCTGGGATACGAATGTTTACCTCTACGACATTGCCCAAACCGAGGTAAACCAGTCGCCTCTCATCACCAAGTTCAAGCACCAGGCGCCAGTTCTGGATGTTTGCTTTGGCGACGATGATGGTGTTGCCTACACTGCAAGCGTCGACCGGTGTGTTAATAGGTACGAGCGTTTCTTGGGTGTCTGGAAGAGGATGTTTGGAGCTTCGGGCTAATTATCGTGGAAAGAATTGATCTCGAAACCGGCCAAATCACTGTCTTAAGCAAACATGGGGCCATAGCATGTGCTGTTGTGTACAGCGCAGCCCACGGTAAGTCCATCCAAGCTACACGATTTTGATGAGCATAGGTTCTAACGACAGCTAAAAGGTATTCTGGTGTCCGCCGCATGGGACAGCACCCTCCATATTCATAACATTCGAGACCCGTCCAGCTCCCCAATCCGGGTGGCTCTCCCCGGGAAACCGCATGCGCTCGCCATCAGCCCCAGCAAGATGGTGGTTGCCATGACAGGCCGCATCATCAATATCTATGACCTGAACGCGATGCGAGATCTTCTCTCCACCGGAGGTAGCGACCTGAAGCCGTGGCAGCAGCGCGAGTCTTCCTTGCGGTATCTCACCCGCGCCGTCGCGTGTATGCCCAATGACGCTGGGTACGCCACCAGCAGTATCGAGGGTCGTGTTGCCGTCGAATGGTTCGAAGACACAGCCGAGTCACAGGCTCGCAAATACGCCTTCAAGTGCCACAGACAACCGGCTCCCGATGGCGATGGAGACATTGTGTATCCAGTTAATGCGCTTGTTTTCAACCCTGTACATGGTACCTTTGCCTCGGGCGGAGGTGATAGCTCTATCGCGTTGTGGGACGCAGAGGCCAAGAGGAGGCTGAGACAGTATCTCAAACTGCCAAACAACGTGGCGGCGATGGACTTTTCAACCGACGGCAAATACTTCGCTATCGCGACGTGTCCTGGGTTCGAGACGGGCCAAGAAGATTATTCAGGAGTTGGGCTAACTAATGTTCAATTCCGGATACTAGGCGACAATGAAGCCAAGGGGAAGTCATCGAAGTAAGAGTCAATGTGGTGTTTGGTGTGACTTCGTTTGGGAACGGCGTTCTAGGTTGATAAATGGTCGTAGGCTTTCTGTTGGTCGCCGTTTTGGTTACCTACGAGGCATTGACGAAAAGTACCATAGTAATTGTTGCGTAGATACCCGCACAATATTTAAATGAAAGGCCTAAACATGCATTCTTTCTGTGAGATGCCCTTGAATGAGTTCATCAATTCTATTTGGCCATCGTATCTCATATCGCCCCCTTCTATTGGACTCAGGCGTGTAAGATCATTTCGTGCGATGAGGAATCGAAGGCAATATCTGGCCCAGCCGGGCTTCCAGACAAATGGAACTTGGTGCAACTCTTGCCAGAAAGTGGCTCAGTGATGGCGGAATATGGGAGATTGATTCAAGTTCTTCTATCTAACAGTGACTTTTCAAATATGTCTCGTTACTCTGCTTCCGGGCTATCAAACCCATCACAACCTCGAAGTTCTTGACTGCTATGAGAGGCAATTGTTGGATTTCGAGTTGGGAGTCTGTAGTCGATAATGCGAACGCCATGTCGAAAAGTGAAAATGCCACACTTTTTGATGTCTCGGGGCGCATTGGGTGGTACTGGTTTGAGTCTCTTTGGCTTGGGAGGGTTGGATGAGCTGTTAGGGCCTTGTACAGAATCAGAACTTGTAAGTCATTACGAATACTCCTTGAGGCAGTACTGTGTGAAATTACCTTGACTGAAGTGGTTGGGGGCAACTTCTTCATCACTGATTCCTTCCAATGGCCTCTTCCTACGTGTAGGTTTATTTGTAGGCTTGACGGAAGTCAGCCTTTCCGAGGTATTACTGGGTAGCATTGTATTGGAGTGAGAATCGTTGGGATGCGCGGGTATCTTGTCCTTGTTTTCGTTCTCTGAATTTGAAACCTTTCCATGCTCGGCGAGACTGGGTAAGGGTTAGCGACTGGATAATGGTGAAAAGGGCGGGAAGATATACACCCCCGTAGGATCCTCTACAAGTTCGCAATCGCAGTTTACCTCGTTATTCTGGGACGCATGTTCTTGGCTTGAAATAATTGTCCACGACGAGGGGCTGGGGCTTCGCAACTTTTCCTCGTCGTTCTCGAGGAGACTGGTTTTTGCCGATGATCCACAGCCGTGCGTTTGAGGAGGATTTAGATCTTGTGGATTCATTTTTGCTAAGCTGGGTCAAGAGGGCATGGAAAAGACGTGGATGACGATATGGTATGTCTATATTTGCTTCTGAAGGCCCTGTGCTTGTAGATGGGTAGTATTTGGGAAGGAGCGGAGGCAGGAGCGTCCTGGGTTTCAATGCGGCGCCTTCCCGATTCCTCAGGCAGGCACTCAGATGAGTATCAAGGCAGTAAGGTACCTGCACCATTGGGCACAAGGTCTCTGGGTAAGAATTGAATCTCCTAGGTGTAGGATATATTTAGAAATTTAGCTCTCAGCTAAACCCGAGTATTACGATCGCTGGGCACCCAAAACTTTTATACTGTCAAACACAAGTAGTAAGGTAGACCATTGTGACCAGGTGCTTACATGGACCGAATAGCTTGGAAAAAGTGAAAAGTGCCTACGAATGCATAAGTCAGTAGCAGGCAGGACTGACTGAGTGCTAACGTAGGACTTAAGGCGCCTCCATATGATTATAGGAGACAGTATGTAATAGATCATGTTGGGGGTGGAAATCATGAACCAAAAACGGCGGCATTGTTGGACTTCAATTCGGATAAGAGAAAAGTGTGTATACTAAAATACTGCTAATACTAGTAACCCGGATGATAGGGAAGTTTCATTTGCGCAACTATTATACGTGCAGATTTTGTTCGCAGTCGATCACTGCATTCTGCCACGAGGTTTTGAAAACCTTAGGTTTGGGGCTTTTCTGGCTGCGAAACCACCTCTATTATATTCGTCGGTTCTAGCCATTGGCGCGGTGATAGGCTATGAATAGGTTAGTTGGCAATCTAGATGGAAGAGTTTGCACCAGGTCTATCTGACGTACTGCCGGTTCTGGAACAAAGTCGAATGTGCCCGCCATTTCCAAGAAGCTGACACTCTGGGGAGTCTCAGGGATGTCGTTTTTCCAAAGTAAAGAATGGGGAAAACCTAGATCAAAAGGGATTGCTGAATCAACCGCCTTGATGTTTTCTGGGTCAAGCTTAACGACGAGGGCTTGGATGTATTCTTTCAGTTGACTGATTCCCCGGGCCGCGATCACAGGGAATACGTATGGGGCCTTGTGTATGATATATGATAGTGCGATGCACGTCAAGGTGGTGTCGAGCTGAAATGCAAGATCCTCCATTGCCTCACATATCTTCACTTCAGGGTCGTTGAAGGCTGAATGAAGGCCATCTTCGTATCTTCGTCGTTCTGCTAGTTTGAACTTCCCTTTGCTAGGTGCCCCCCAAGGCGTGATCCCCATACCCTCGCTCTTACACATTGGAACAACATCGCGCTCCAAATCACGGCAGTTCGCAGACCACAGACCCTGGTAAACGGAGAATTGGCGAAGGCCATGGTGCCTGGCGTATTCATTCGCCTTGCTAAAAGTTTGGTTATGTTAGGATGCCACAAGAGCAAGCATGAAGAAGGTGTTTATCAAACCTTACGACCCAGGCAGGCGTGTTACTGGCACCTAGATATAGAACTTTGCCCATGGCAACGAGATGGTTGAGAGACTGCATCAGTTCCGCAATGGAGGTGCTGTAGTCCCACTAGTGTACGTAAAGCTGTGCTGGGGATGAGAGAGATAATCTTTTGCGTGAAAGCACTGGAAGGCCATACCACGTCAATGTAGCTCGTTTGAAGATTCTTCAAGCTTGATTCAACCGACTGTACCAGGCTTTTGGTTCCGTTACCTGCGTAATTGGCCATGATAGGAGGGTGTGCTGGCCCAGCCACAAAGTTGGTTGTGTACTTGGTCGCGATCACTGTGCTCTCCATGTTAGTATGCTGTATCGAATGAGTACAATAGCACTGATTAGGAGAAAACCAAACCCATTTGGTCGCGAACACCTCGTTTCCTCATCCAGTCACCGACCCATTGTTCCGATTCCTGAAATTGATAGTTGTTGGACGTATCGACAAAGTTCCCTACTGCGGCTCAGTACAACAACGTAGCTTTGATTTGAGAAGTAAGGTGCATACCGCCCTTGATTCAAGTTAGGAACTATAGTATCGAGGCTGGAGTCCTGCTTGAGTGCTTACCTGAGAGTAAAAGTAATCAAGAAGAGCCTCAACTTCACGCTGGCTACGGTCTCCCATCTGGTCCTTCCTGTGAACAACCATATTAATCAATCAGATTCTATCTGGCTTCACGAGCAAAAATTTGATATGATTCTCACCATGCGTTCCCGAAGCTCATTGTGCTCAGACATAGAGGACTGACCTTTACGGCTGCATTCGGCGATAGCAAGCGATACCGGGCGAGCGGGCTGACGGGAGGAGGGGCTAAAGGTGTTGCGGACATCATGAAATCAACATGAGAAGATTCATGGCGAGCTGTGGGAGATGGACAAGGAGAAAAAGAAAACCCCTGGGATTTTCTCTACACGGAAAGTACCTATTGGTACGCGTTGGTTCTGATTGAGACGGCAGTCACGATGGTGTTGCACGGCCACTTGAGTTAGGTCAAAGTATATTGATGTGCGTACGAACTTTCGTTACAGGCATCGGTGCATCTGCGCAAGTAAACCCTACATACCTAGACCTAGCCAAACCTGAGTACTTACCTTATTTATACCTAGGTACCTTATACAGGAATCAATTCAATTGATTCTGGTTGTCAAGACTGTTGCCCTTAAACCTGTCAGCCATCGTTGGTGGTTCTATGAATCAGGCCATTAAAAAATGGAGAGGCCTCTGATTGGGTGGATACCTGCCCGCGCCAGCCCTTACATAATAAGCCTGGGTCCCCTACTTTGACTCTTGCCCAAGATTGTTGGTACTAGACAACCTCACTGACGACCGGTTTTTGGCACGACATACACATTTCCGACCCTCTTTGCGCCCAATTGGACACCTTATTACATATTCCCATCGGCTTTGGCGCTGGGATGATGGCCACTGACAATGGTGTCGTCTAAACCGGTCCCTTCTCGGGCCGCGCTTAATGCTCTTCGAGGCCTAGTTTTCACGACATCCTGCTCAGTATTCATTCTTGCCGAGGAACGCAGACAGCGCATGCGGATTGCACGATCTGCTTTCGATAATGCACGGAAACTACACACTGTGAAGGCCCGCCATAGGCCCGCTCTTCTTGCTGATACAAGGCTGTCGGACGAAGACTGCGAGGCTTTGTTAATTGAGAGAATCAGCAAACCCGAACGACGGAAGCGCCGCCCGCGACTTCGCTCAAGATCCGATGATTCCGATGCCCATAATAAGGGAAAAAAATTAATGCAGGATTTGGAGATCAAGGGAAACGATCGAATCGACTTGCCTTCTCGCTCAGCTCGTTCATCGTCCTCTTCAACAAATCCCCGAGTCACAGTAGACTTGCCGATTATTGGACAAAAGCCTGGTGCACCTCCTATACGCCCAACTGTGTCTTCAAGAGACACGTTCAGTAGGCCTAAGCTGGGCAAGCCAATTTCCCCCGCTTCTCAAAGTTCCCGACCCAAGGTTCCACACACGAACCATCATGCCAAACCGCGCATACCAGCAGATTTTCAAGTGGGCATGGCTACCTTGACAGCAGCGGCTTCATCAAGTTCCAAATCTTATGAGCATCCATATGTGGGAGCCTCTTCCACCATGGATTCTTCATTGACTCAGGCAGTCACGGATTTCCTGGGCCGTGCATCTGGTGCTGAGACCTCATTTGATAGCACGGTATTGCCCCTCTTGAACAAGCTCTTGGTCGAATTTGATCCTAGGGACTGGTCAGTTGCTGGCACAGCTTCAAGGCTAAATATGGCGCTGGAAATCTTCGATAAACTTTCACATGTAACTGCGACAGACTTACATGCGGAGGCCATGGAGGCCAATTCTGTTGCACTGATCAAAGTTGCGATTCTCCTTGGCGAACATCAAGTCTCAGCGTTGAATAGTACGCGTCGTTTTCACAAGGACGTCCACAGGGTCCTTGCTGTCGTCTTGGACTGGATGATGGAATCAAACATTGCAGACCGAGTACCAAGCTTTCTTGGCGAGTTTTTCAACTCCGAGTGCTCAGTCGATCAAATGGATTCGAAAGTGATCTATCGTATCTTGGTCTGTCATTCAACTCTCTATCAAAAGCCGTCACGGACCATTGAATTGTATCATATGCTTCATTCGCCAAGGCTGCCTTCAAATTCTCAACCCACGCTTGAGGGAGACTTTGAAACTCGTCAGCTCGTCAGTTATCTTCTCCAAGACGAAATGCAACGCCGTGGCATATACCAAGCTGTCCATTCTCCTGGACCGTACCAAAGCGGCGCTCAAAGCGACGGCAGTGAGGTCAGCCGCAGGCAATTTCAGGGCATTCTTGCCAACCTTGTGGACACGTGCTCTAGACGGCATGCGCCAGCCAACTTTGAGGCTATTGTGCGTTATCTGACCCAGACTCATGGCCTAGAACTACAGGGTCGATGGGTCTACTCACTCCTTGCACGTTATTTCAGAAGCAATGGGCTTGACACAGTTTTCTCTTGGATTCAGTTCTGTCTTCAGAACAACTTTCGTGTTGATGATGCTTTTATTCTCAAATTCTACCGGAAATGTCACACCAATTGGGACATGTCCTGGGGGAAAGTGAACAAGCTCGCTTCCTTGTTGCGAAAGGCTAACCACAATTACACTCTTGCTGACTGTACTCAAGCCATTTCCCCAAGTGCTGAGAAGGATGGCACTCCCTCGAGCGGCCAATCTGTACCAGCACGCGAGGATTGGGAGCGTTTATACGTCCGAGTTGCTCGGGAACTAGTACCAAGCCCTCTATCAAAGGAAGAGGCTGATGTGTTTGACTATATGCAGCGCTATGCACAAGAGTGCAAGTGGTCACTAGTCTGGGAATCGTATGAGACATTCCGTTCTACGAGTAGTCAGAAATTCTCCATCCGATGTCTTCGACTTGCAGTTCTTGCTCGAGTTAGGCTGGATGGCGGTTCGACGGATAACGCAAGTAGACTTCTCTGGTCTTGTTCTCAGGGCCACGACGTGAGCGATGCAGCAACATCAGTGCTAATGGCGAAACTTGGCAATGGAGAGCGTCCAATATCCATTATCCGCGATGCTCTTGATCGTGGCTTGCATGTTCATGACATGGTCTACAACCTCGCTGCACGGAAGACCATAGAACTGGGCCACCTCGCAGACGCACTAAGAATTTGCCAGATGGCAATATCGCAGAATGGCTGTGGAGATTTCTTGTACCAAGAGTTCATATTCTTGAACCTTGTCTCAATCCACGTCCTACAGCTGCATTATGCAGACTTGAAACTACTTTTGGCTGCTCTGATGGAGAAGAAGCCTAACTGGGTCGGCACGAAAGATATCAAACGCAGTCTGAAGCTGAACATGAAGACAGTAGTGAAGCGGATTGCGATGGCTTCTGAATCTGCTTCTAGCCGGCACACAGAAGCCTTGTCTTTCTTAGACATGGCTTTGCAATTCAATTTAAAGTGCACGGAACGTTACGCCCCGTCAACTCGGAGCAATGCCGACATCAATTCTAACATGGGCAATGTCTTCCAATCGGACTCTGAAGTTGTCAGCTCGCGCTCGTCCAAGGAGATTAATGATGGATCATCATTATCAACGTTGCCAAAGGGCGCTGGTGATGCTCAGCAGTTTAGTGACGCAAGAACAGACGATGCCATCACCTCCCACAAGTTGTCGGACAAAGAGACTGTCATGACCGCTCAAACCCACCAGGACACGATTCCGCTGGGGCCGAATAAAATGCCCGTCGATGAAAAATCTCAAGAGAATAAGAGTATTCTAGCAGAAAAGAAGCCGCAACAAGAGTCTGTGCAACGTCCCGACCCGAACTGGGACTACTTTTCTGAAATGGAAGGCCCCGCCGTCGGCAGCAGAGATGTATTCCCAAAGGCAAAACCTAACAATTCGACCGCGAAGCAGAATGCAAAAGACGAAGGTGTTCCGACGAAACTTCATGGCGATAATGCGCGTGAGATATCATCTAACATTGCGAGCAGTGAATCAAGGAGCTTGTTGACAGGCGAGAAGAAGATGATGTACGAGTTTCTAAGTTTACAGCCACGGGTCGTTCCCGGCTGGTCTCAATGTGAGGTAGGACACGAGTCTTGAAACACTGGACGGGAAGCCATTCATTCTGCATGTATAAAACTTTCAGGAACATCTATATACCTAGCATACACGCCCTGGACGGGCAGAATACATATCTACTGAATGTAGTTGCTCATTTGTCCTTTATTCGTGTATCTTTGCACCGGGTGTCGAAAATGGAAGGCTCATCGACAATAACTTGATGCTCATTGGCTCGATCTCGGATGTGCCGCGTGGATTCCAGCCCACAGCCTCGAGCTCACGACTGAGTGTTTGGTGGGGGTGGCTGCTTATGAAATTTCGATCTAATCGTACGATTCAAGGTTGCGGTGCCAGAATCACATGCCCGCTGATCAGAGAGTCGGGCGGGCTGGTAGCCAATGGGCGTCCTCGGTGGCGGGGCGGTGAGGGCCAAAATGGCGCCACTTGCCTTTTGGCCCAGGTGTCAGTACCCCTGTAAGCCAAACTTTCTGTAGGGGTGGATTTCAGGGTCAATCTCGCAGAGAAGAGACAGACCAGGCTGCTCATGAACGACTTCGCCAACCCATATATTATCTCACTGCCGTCTGCTTGCCCTGACGCATCCCTACCCGACCTGCTTCGAGAATAAGCGTGACCTCGACGGACCCGACAAGAGAACCAAGTCGGCGTCTTCGGGATCATTTCGCCCGCAAGCAATTGGATCGATCGCATGAGAGAAACCCGCTCGTCTCGAGTATCAGGAACGAAACCGATGACCTGCTGTCCCGCATGTTAGAACTTTTTGCCTTGCTCGAAATCTCAACAACCTTCCTCCCGATACAGCCGAACGCGAGTTCTCGCCTGATCATCCGTCGTTGTTCACGCATCCGAAGTCGCTAAGCTTGACCCTCCCCGCCCCTAATCGACGTCTGGAGATCACAGCACCCCTTTACCCGACCACTATGGCGACAGAATTTACCGCCGACTATCGCGCAGAGCGCCGAGAAAAATTCCACGAAGCCGAAGTTGTAATTGTTGGTGCTGGTGTTTTCGGCTGCGCAATTGCTTTTTCATTGGCAAACCAGGGGCGTTCCGTCCTACTACTCGAGAGATGGATGCACGAGCCTGACCGTATCGTTGGTGAGCTGATGCAGCCTGGTGGTATTGCAGCCCTCAAGAAACTGGGCCTGGGCCATTGCTTAGAGAACATCGACGCCATCCCCTGCTACGGATACTGTGTCAGCTACCACGGCCAGCCGGTGCTCATTCCATACCCAA